CGCCGCGCGGGGGGCGGGGGTGAGGGCGACGCGGCGCCGGCCGGGACCTGCCCGCGCACTGCGGGAGCCTTCCCGTGGGAATCTGCGGGAGCCTTCCCGTGGGAATCTGGGGGAGCCTTCCCGTGGGAATCTGGGGGAGACTTGGCTGCCGCGCTCCAAGGCGCCATTTTTATTCTCCGTGAACGCTCCCAAGGGAAGGTGGCCAGGGACTGTCGCAGGCATTTTTCCAGGGAGCACACTGGTGTGGGGAGGGGAGGCCTCCTAAGGCTCACCCCGATGCCAGCCTCCCGCACCCAGAAAGGCCCAGGACGCACTCACTCTGCCGGCCACGAAGGCATCATCCTGGCCTATGCCGGGCGTCCTTCGGGCTCCATGACGCAGAGCAGCGGCACAAACCTGGGGCGCGGTCCTGCGTCCTTGGCCCCTTGGGCGCAGTTCCCTCTCATTTTGCACAACCGGAAGGGAGGGGACAGAAAAGACCGCTCACCACCCATGTGTCCCAATCACTCGCCAGGTGACAGGCCTTTTCTGCTGCCGAATTAGGCCTTGTTGGTGCTACCTGACCTCGCAACACACGCAGCGGGCAGGTGCCAGCATTGCAGCTCGTTGCCAGGCAGGATGGCACCGCCATGGGCCAAGGTGGTGCCTGGACAAGTGAGGCTCCCGCCCGGTGCCGGGTTCCTGCGGACGGCCCTGCGCCGTCAGGAAAGCGGAAGCAAGCCTGGGGATGCATCTGCACGTGCTATTTTAACTGCTTTCACATTCAAGGTTTTAGTTTAGTCTGAGCTGGTACAACGTAATTGAAACCCTTTATGGACACCCCCCTTCCCGCACCCCACACAAAAGCAGTGTTCCCTGGAAATGGAGTTAAAGATGAGTCTAGCCCTGGCAGTTTTGCTCAGTGGTTAGAGTGTCGACCCGCAGACTGAAGGGTCTGGGATTTGATCCCTGATCAAGGGCATGAGCCTTAGTTGCAGGTTTGATCTTTGGCCCCGGTTGGGGCATGTACACCAGTCCATGTGTCTCTCTCAGATCATATTTCTCTCTCTCTCTCTCTCCCCCTTTCACTTTCTTTAAAAATCAATGGAAATAATATCCTAAGGTGAGGATTTTTTTTAAAAAAAAAATCAATGAAACAAACACGGGTCTGTAACTCCACCACGGACTGTTCGCCGTTCTATTCCCAGAGCCTGGCACACAGGCCTGCGGGTGGTTGTTATTTTCCAAAGAACAAACTCTTTGCACGCTCATGCGCTCACCTTAGGGAACGTAAGGCCAGGTCACAAGGCCACAGCCTTGGGGCGGGCCGCCCCACTGGAAGCTGCGTGCGCGCTCTCCATCCCCAGCCCAGTGACTTTCCCTAAGACTGTTACTGCTACTGCGCTGGCCACGGCTGGGATGTCAACTCCCCGAATCCTGTTTTCATCTTAAAATATGTTTTTAACGATTTCAGAGAGGGAGATAGAAACATCAATGAGGAGAATCACTCATTGGCTGCATCGCTTGGCTGTCTCCTGCACGCCCCCTACTGGGGACCAAGCCATGTGCCCTGACCAGGAATGGACTGTGATCTCCTAGTTCATAGACCTATGCTCAAACCACTGAGTCGCACCAGCCGGGCCCGTTTCCATGTTCATCAGAGACTTGGTATCATGCCAGGCACATGAGGACTTTCTGCCAGTGGAAAGGACATATTCTAACATGTACTCATTCTAATCCCGGGAAATACATTCTACTGAATGCTTTCACTAAGTACATGCACTTGGGGAAATATTAAATGGAGGTATAAATGGAACTTGGTTGAAAGGACCTTTGCTTTCAATTCCAAACCTCTTTATACTGCGGACAACAGAGGCCCAAGAAGGACGAGCCGCCTGGCTGAGCTGGGAGCCAGGTCTCCCGAGGAAGCCTGCGGCTCTCCCCTGCCCGCGCTCATCATTTCATAGTTCAGTTCTTTGCTCAAAATGACCCAACTTGGCCGCGTAACAGCAGCAACCTATTTGTACGCTTGAAAAGCTAATGGGCTCAAAGTCTTGCCTGCAGGCTAGGAACTTTTCTAGTGCTTAGGGAAGGGATAAAAATGTCAATGAGCCCGGCCGGCGTGGCTCAGTGGTTGAGCATTGACCTATGAACCAGGAGGTCATGGTTCGATTCCCAGTCAGGGCACAGGCCTGGGTTACGGGCTCGCTCCCCAGTGGGGGGCGTCCAGGAGGCAGCCGAGCAATGATTTTCTTTCATCATTGATGTTTCTCTCTCCCTCTCCCTTCCTCTCTGAAATAATAAAAATGTACATATATACATATTTTTAAATATATTTTATTGATTTTTTTTACAGAGAGGAAGGGAGAGGGATAGAGAGCCAGAAACACCAATGAGAGAGAAACATCGATCAGCTGCCTCCTGCACACTCCGTACAGGGGATGTGCCCGCAACCCAGGTACATGCCCTTGACCGGAATCGAATCTGGGACCCTTCAGTCCACAGGCCGACGCTCTATCCACTGAGCCAAACCGGTCAGGGCAAAAATGTACATATATTTTTAAAAGTCAACAAAACTTCCCTGCAGAGAAACACAACTGTACAAAATGTGCAAATTGGCCTTTATTGTCTCCGAGAAACTGCCAGACCCAATAAGCAATTCCGGGTCCCAGCCGGGCAGACACCCTCCTCCCATCACTGCACTCGGCCTGACCGGACTAGACCAGACAGGTGGAAAGTTTACACCACACGGCAGCAAGGTCCCCTCGACAAATGGGTGGAAGTCAGGGTTCTGACTATTTAAGCTTAAATGCTGGGTAGAAAGGCCAAGTGCAGTCCTAAGTGATTCAATAAGTGATTCACCGCCAACTGGGAAATGTACAATTACTTTTACAAATTTAGATCTTAACCCTATTACTCAACAAGGATCTCACCCCAATGGGTAGGAAGGACAGGACCTTCGAAGGCTTCGGCCTGGGACTGGGACCCCACGGACCCCACCCCTGCACTGTATCCCTCGTCTCCTGCGGAGTCTGGACCAAGTTAGTCACCAGGAGGCACGACGGTGCGTGGCGGTGCCAGAGCGTGAAGCGCCTTTCGTTTGCAACTGAAGCGCAAGGCGCACACCCAGAGAGGGCGCTACTCTCTGACCTGCGTCCTTGCTGGGGAGCCACACAGCGCCGCCCGACTGCCCACTGGCTGCAGACACAGCAGTTTCTCCGAGGAAAATGCAATTCTCTCCAGAAGGTTCACCTGCGGTTGCCGAAGGTGAGGACAACTGGCTTCCCTCCCCAGGCTGCACATGAACACGCATTTCCCTGCGGCTGAAACACTGAATGAACGTTCTGGAGTTAACACTGCCTGCGGTAAGTGTCAACACCATAAGGCTTTCTGGTTCTCTCAGGAAAGTGCCGTAACTTTCCTTTAGGGAACAGGGTGTGAGGGCACACAGTTCAGGCCATTGATCCATGAGCTTTGTCTCCCTGTCGACTATTTTAATGCTTCCCACCGACCAAGCCTGACGGGAGACAGCTGGCTCCCTGGAAAGGAAACACCAGGTACATAATTGACGGCACTGTTTTGCTCAGGAGTCCCAGGCCAAGGCCACCGTGACAGCTAGTCGTCCACAGTGATGTTCCGGAAGAGGTAGGCCATGGACTCCCCGTTGTGGATCCTGCGGATTGCTTCCGAGAGAATGAGGCTGATGTCCACCGTCTTGATCTTGGGGCACTGCAGCTTCTGCACCTCGTGAGGGACGGTGTTGGTCACCACCACCTGTCACGGCATCACGGCAAACGCACTGTAACTGCCGCGCCCCGTGGTCACTCGGAAAAGTTTATCCAACACTGAGTAGCCCCAGCCCGTCCCAACCCACTGAACCTTACTCTGCGAGTCTGGTTTCTACAAACTAGACTAACCCGCCTCACAGGGAGAGGTTTCGTGGCCAGAACGTGAGATTCTGAGCCCACGGGCTGGTGTGCAGAAGCGACAGGGGGAGGCCTGCGCTGGGCCAAGAGACATGCCCGTCGGCATCAACCCTGGAAGCACGAATTACACTGACGGGCACAGACGCAGCCAGGACAGGCCCCTGGGAGGGTTGGCAACACTGAGCGCGTCCCTCCATGATGCACAGAAAGGCGGCAGGCCGGGGCCTACGCTCAGGGTTCGAGCCCCGCAGACAGACAGACCTCGTCGATGGAGGACTCCTCGATCAGGCGGGGGGCCTCCGCAGACAGGATGCCGTGAGTGGCCATGACATAGATCTTGTAGGCGCCTCTCTCCTTCAGGATCTCTGCAGCAGCCACGAAACTTTCCACGTCATCAATGATGTCGTCCTGAGAAGAGATGGGGGGAGGAGGTCCTGGGGCTGCCTGGGAACACTCTCTGCCCTTCCCTGCTCCCGCTGCAGAGAATGCGAGCCGTCCACCCGGTCAGAGGGCGCACACCAGCAGTGGCAACAGGACTGCGCGGACGGCGCTGTGCGTGGCTGTCGGTGCAGAGCAACGCCTTCCAGGCACACGTGACATTCACAGCCAGAGTTTATGACCCCTAGGGCTGATGTCCAGTGTCAAATGTCAGATCAACCTCCACAGCCAGTGACCATGCACTTTCCTGAGAAAGTTAAACGGGGGGGGGGCACAGAAAGTGAGCCACTGCGAAGGACCATCCTCTGGCCCAGCAAAGGCATGAAGAGCTGGGA